CCCCCCCCCCCCCGCTCACACGTAAGATTAGGAGAGTCTTTGTGGGTCTGCAACTAAAATGGGACACTTCAGTGTGTTCAAGTTCACAACTCTGACAGTGGCACCTGCCATTCTAGAATTATTATTACCGATGAATTAATGATTATTAATTGTATTTCCTGCTTGGTACTAGAACTGAAAGCAATGAGCTGCTCCATGATTCTTGCCAAACTGATGGCCAGCTAGCAGGACAGAAATTTTTCTGATTTGGATGTACAATAAACCAGGGAATGATGAAAACCAAGTGACATGATGCTGGAGGAATGCAGTAAAGAAAATGAACTGGAAACTGGATAAAAACAAGAGGTCTGGGAGAATGGGAAAAGCAGCACCAGCAGAGCAGAAGGAGAGTCTAAACCAGAGTCTAACACATGTGAGATGCATAAGAAAACAGGGGACTTGCCACAAAGCACACGTGAAGAGGCCAAGGGAACTGAAAGCAAGTTGCTCTGCTATTAAATGGGAACCCACAAGAAAATCTTGGGAAGTACAAGATCTCCTTGGGAATGGGAATTGCTATCATGAGAAGTATAATATTCCTTGCTATTAATTTTTGGGAAAATAGCATCATTAATTTTAAGAGACTGGGTGACCCTGAATTTTGGGGCAGGAACATATGGTGGGTTCTTACGAAGTGCAGTTTACCCATGTACAGGAGCGGTGAGGACTGTGCTCAGTAGAGTTTTCAACAATTTCAGGGCTAGACTCCAGGAAGCCTCCAAACCTTCAGCCTCAAGATATTATTTTGTCTTAATTTAGCTAATCTGGGACAATTTCTCAGAAGAACAAGACATTCCCAGCAAGTCCAAAACACGATTGCTGGAAACTAGGTGTCTCTATTATGATGACTTTTCAGACATTACAAAATACCTCTCCTCCAGTCTTACTGTGAGACAGCAGAAATGTCAAAACAATTTTAAGGATGATAAATGGCTGAATCTTTCACGCAGGGTTAAGTGGAAGATTTAACAAAGCTGTGTACCATTATGAACAAACTCCTGTGGGAAGACCTGGGCTACTCGAAGCAGGTGGTGCTTCTGTGGGAAGGAATATCCCACATTTCACGTTGCAAAGCAAGCACTGGGAAAGCAAAGGCTGGCACTGAAAGATAAGCTCATGCCAAGAGCCATCGCTGCACTGCGTGAGTCTCTGGCCCCCACAAGGCTCACCGTGACTTTGCCCCATTTTGACAGAGTATTGCAAAAAGAAAAATACACCCCGAAGAGCGTTTTCAGTAGAAAATTTTCGGCAAAGAACCATTTGATTTCAACAAAATTATGTTTCAATCACTACTGAATTGCAAAGTGTGTGGAAAGGCTACCACAAGTTCAACACTTTCTGGCAAAGATTAAACATCAAACAAACAGACTGACCCCTATGCAACCTTAAGTTTGCTATTTTTCCCAGGTCTTCCACATCATGTTTTAATAGTTTGGAAAGGTATTTAGCTTTAACATTGTCAGAATAAGTCATGTTGTCAGGCACAAATGTGTTTTAAAAACAGACAAAACCAAAAGAAACCAGGCAATTTGGAAGGACTTGATAATTATTATAAAAGGAAAGAAAGGGCCTCAAAGGACAATGAGACTATTGCAAGCAGAACAGGGGAACAACGAACAATCTCAAATGTGTTGCTTGCCAAGACAATTTCCCACAATAAAACAAATCCATGAGGAGACAAGACCACAGATTTTAGAAATACAAAACATACTGTCCAAAATAACAGCATCAGGGTGATTCTGAGATACAAGGTCACGCACCTTCCTCGGGACACCCGACAGCCACTCTCCCCAACCATCACAGCATCTGACAGTGTTCTCAGTAAGGCACTCACCCCTGCTTCTGCTGCAGTCCCTCCAGGTTTGAGAGCTGCCTATAGAGCGCTCAGAGAGACAACTTTTGAACTTAGGCCAGTCTGAAGATAGTATTTTTCTTTCAGATGAGAAATCACCAAGCAATTTGCTACTGAGAACTACCTCCCAGTTCATACTCAGCTCCCGAACAGAGCCTGAATCTCTCATATAAACAAGAGTAAAGCCACAGAAAACTTGCTGCCACCAACACTCAAGAGTGAAATATCAACTATTTAGACATATGGTTTCACTTACCCGAGTTTCCTTCCCTTCCTCATTTCCATCAACTTCATCATCATTCTAGGATGAAAAGCAAACAGTATAATTAGGCAGCCTTGGAGACAACAAAATTTTATCACAAGAAGATAATTTGTTGCTTACGATTTGATGATAAAGCTAAAACACTTCTGTTGAAATAAATGCCTGTCTAGATGCTTTTGGCTGATTATCAGATCAGGTTTGGTAACCCAATGGTCATTTAGAAGATCTTGGTACTGGGGACAGAATTACTCTCTTGAGATGGCTACTGCAATTGGAATGCTCCTAAAAAATCAGTAGGAGAAGGAGTCACACTCCTTAATATACTGTGACACTTGGGAAGGCCACATATCTGAAATGTTGACATAATACTTGACTTCCAAAGCATATCCTCCACTTCAATTAGACTCCAGGAGGAAAGACTAGTCATCCCAGATAATTTGCCTTTACACAGCCTCTCTGTAACCCACTGCCTCTTTGTAACAGCTCCAGGGTTTCATGGAGCAATGGTAAACTACCATGGCATCACATCTGACTGACTACCGTATTGAACTCAAGGTATTTCAGAACTTGTAGCTGCAGTTTCATATAGAGACAACAAGGAAATGAACTAAAACTCTGAGAAGTGATTTACCTTCTGCTCTGAAGCTAGTACTATTGCTACAACGATCCACTAGACAACTGGGCAAGCTGTAAAGCATTTAACTAAAAAAAAAGTAAGGAAAAAAAACAAATCACATTTGGCATGTAAGTGAAAAAAGAAGTAAGAATCATTTGAAAATAACAAAAAGGGATGTTTGCAGCAAGTCTTCAATAGAAACTGAGGTTTCCAGCAGGGCCCTTCAACTTGTAACTCCATATATTCAACAGATCTATTGTTGCCACAGGGAAGACCATTGGGGTTTTTTTCACTTATTGTGCAGGAAGCCTCTGCCCCTGAGGTGTATGAGGAAGGCTGTATGTCCACAGATGGACTAGAACTGTTGCAGACTTGTTAACAATAATGCTTATTCTTTCCTGCAAAAGGTCGTCTGTTTTCCTACCTGAATCTCTAACCAAGGTTTGGAGGGCTGGATTTCTTCCCTCAGACTGAAGAAATCCTTTTGAAATCAGAACTAAGAGAAATGACCACGACACAGACAGCTCTTCTGCATTTAATGCTGTGTGTGTTCTCTGGTGCTGGGCAGGGGATCCAGACACAGGTTTTATTCCTCATTGTCTTCCTTTCAGGGTGTCTAAAGCATGGCCAAATTTGGGCTCAGAAGAATCTGAAAATACTTCCAGTGGCTTGTGACCTCCTTCTTCCAAAGAAACTAGACTTCTAATCTCTCTTCTCCCATGTGGGCTCTCTTTTCACAATTCTGCAAGGTTCTCAGTGATTTACGACTCAAGAACAGGCCTCCCACAGCCTGCCTGCTTGGGTTTTTCAGGGGCCAAAGAGGGATGCAATTCCCTTGGAAGTGCCAGTCTGAAACAGAATTAGAGAGGGATGGACTAATGGGAAATCAACTGACTTAGAAAAAAAGTCTGAAGCTTGGAACTGGAAGAAAATTCACCCTGAGTTCAGCCTGAGTTTCTCTTCTCTAAGGAACTCAAACTTACATCTTTTGTGGAGAAAATTATGCCAGTGCCTCTTCGCCTCTCCTTCGGCCGCCGCCTCTCTCGGATCGACTGTTTGTTTGGAGATCTGTCGTCTAAATCCTGATCTTCACACTCTGGCCAAGCAAATAAAGACTGCTTTGGTTTCAGTGATTTACATCTGTGCTTTTTCTAAGGTACTGGGGTTCTTTTCAAGCTGATCAAGGTCATCTTGGCTTGTGTTATATTACAAAGGAGTTATTAAACCAAATGAAATGGAATCTCAGTGCCCTGCTACATCTGGTTACTCACACTCCTTCCTTTATGAGAGCCCAGAGAGATTACCCTAGCTGTCAGCTCTCCCCAAATTATCCTGATTTACTCCTATTCTGAGGACAAGCTGTACTAGTAGAATTGTTCCCCTCAGCTCTAAGATCTAAACGCTCCATGGATTACTATCTCATTTATTTATCCAGAATGGAAAACATCCTTTTATCCCTCTCTTTTACAAGCAATAGGACGCATCCTACATTAGGATTTCCAATTAAACAAATAACATTTGTTTGGTGAGATGGCAGCTCCCCATACTTCTCCCCTCAAAATAACAAGGAAACTTATTCTCTCTGTACACACAAAGTTTTAAAACTCATGAAAATCCCTGAGTTTTGACTGTTCTTCATTCTCCTGTGTACATACCATTTTTCTCCATTTCTGTGGCCACACCTCTGAAATCTGCTGGATTCACAGAGTCAAGACCTAGATACTTATTTGTTCGAGTCAGGTATGAACTTGTATAAAGGAGAGGTGCTGACGTCGAAGGAGATACAGGTGTTGTAGGTTTGTCTGGTTGTACTGGGCACCTTAATCGCCGATAGACACTCTACAAACAAAGAACCGTGACAAAAAGTTAATAGAATAAAGAGGAACTAGTAGATTTGGGATTTCAGGGAACTGAGTAATCTTTTAGAGTGCAATGTTTTCTTCACTGCTGCTGGAAATGATCGCTTCCATTTGCCAGATCAGGTTCATTCCATCAGATGGGGATGAATGTTAAAGGCATTGCACAGCTACGCTATGAGAATACCTTCCCATTGCTGGGAAGTCTGAGATCAATCTCTTCATCCCTATAGCCAATGGCAGGACAAAGAAGTTATCTAATAGAAACCAATTATTTAGAGTGAAAAAACAGAAGTGATGGCAGGGGTTTCGAAAACTGGTCTCTCTAGCTTTCCATTACACACAGAGCATCTGTGGAAAAATGTGAACACAAAGCCTCAGTCCAGGCTGCGCGGTGAGGATGGATCCAGGCCACATTTCTATCATTAGCCTTCTCATTCCACTTTCTGTGATTTACACAGTTTCATATTCTGGCAAGAGACAGAAAAATGAAATTCCCAGTGGAGAGCAAAGGAACAGCTAACCTCTAACACCTACATATGCACACCCCTCAGGCAGATCGCTGAGGTGAGTGCTACTCCCCAGCATTACTTATTCCCAGCAAGACTTCCCCCCTTAAAATAAACACACATCCCCAAAAGAATTTCTCCTGATCTCAGCTATCCTAAATGGTCTCATTAACTCGGAAACAATGGGAAATGAGGCCAGGAGGATCACCTCCTCATCTGTATTTCTGCTCCACCGTGACCGGGTCTCCTGCCTCTCGCTGCTGTCCTCAGTGGGCTCAGTGCTCTCCGCTTTCTCGCTCGGCTGTTCCTGAGCTTGTCGCTCTGCCCGAGAGCGGCTGAAGGTCCTCTCTGCCTCCTGAAGGTCTGTCAGTGTCACACCCTGGAGAGAAAGCGAGAAAGAGAATTTTTAAATTTATGCAATTAGATTTCAAGTCTTCCAGGTCAGTTTAAAATGCCCAGCAGGCTTATATCTGGCAAGGCTAACGTTTCATCTTTATGCCAACAGAAAAAAAAAATTCTGTTGCCTTTAACACATTTCTCACTGTATCGACAAAATCACTGACTCAAAGCTACCCAAATAGACGTGATCAAGCTACAAACTAAAAGGCAGGTCTACTGCAGAAATGACAGCTCTGAAATCTAACTCATGTATGCTTGGGGGAGTACTCTGTAATAACTGTTTGCAGGAACTTTTGCTAGAACCTCTCCAACGCAGCACAAAGGTAGACAAGCTCCTCATCCTAAGTAATAATACAAGAGCAAAAGAAAATCTTGCCTCTCTATTCATTGGGTCTCTTCATCCTACACACAAACACGAGTATTTCCATTCTTTACCTGTGTAGACCTGCGAGTCTGCCTGGCCTGCCTGGATCGTGCCTTCCTCAGTGATTCTGCTTCCTCATCCCGCACTGGAGTCAGATATGACCTGAAAAAAAAAAGGGCAGAAGAGGTTAAAATAAAAACAGATGCTCTGCCTTCCTGTTTCTGCAAGCTCCAGAACTGAGATATTATTCTCTTTCATGTGGACAAAAATCATTTTAACTCCATCTACCAAGCCTACTATTGACTTCTGCTTTGGGACAACTTTCCCACGAACATATGACATACAAATGCTCATATTACGTTCTCATTACAGTCTTTAAATAAATTATTTAGTGTTGAATGTGTTCTGTTAAATAAGGTCCAACTACTTAGTGTATTACTTGTCCCATTTCATGTCTTATTGCATCATTAGAAAAGAAAAAAAAACAACAAACCACCTCTCATTCAGATAAATATCTCAAGAACAGAAATACTGCACTGGCACATTTTTTAGACCCTCCTTCCTGTCATTATATTCATGACCATATTCCTGCAATCTGCTGTCTTCATCAATATGAAACCCATCATGCTAGAAACCGTCTGAACTGCAGGCATCTTATAAAAACAAAACACCTTAAAAAAAGCGCTATGAAATTAAAGAGATGACTTTCTCACACTGGGGTAACTGAATACCTTACTACTGAAAAACACACAGTTAAAATACAGAGCTGGTCACCACCAGATTTCATTAAACTGGGGAGATTTTAGAAGAATTATTTGCATGAAAACATATAAACTGAACTCTCTGCACTGACATTCACTGTGGAGGAACTGGAGAGGAATCTGGCAGTGCTCCCGCACAGCAGTTAAGTCTGATTTCCATATTGGTGGAGTGGCTTCCATCTTAGGAAAGATTAATTAGATTGGACTCTTCAGCCTGGTTAATAGAGAATTATTATTAACACTGTCTCACCGTACAGGGATGAGGGTGCCTGAAATTAAATGTTCTTTTGCAGGTATATAACTGCCACAGGTTAACAGAGTATCAAAGATCTAGGTACAGCCCAAGTGAGGGATGAAGATCCATCAAGGAATACGCTTGTCCTTGGAATCTTTTGTTTCTCCACTACAGACCACTTCCATGCCAAAGGTAACGGGCTGAACAGATTTTGCATCTGATCCAGTGAGTTACAACATTTATTAGAAAGATTATGAACTTTGCTGCACTATGACAAAACCTCAAATAATCACAAAATCAGCATCATTCTAAAATCATCTACTATGATGGCTTTTATCCACCTTCATGATCTTGTGTTCAGCGGCTCATGAGCGGCAGCCCAACGCAGAGAGACCTCCAGTGCTCAGCAGAGGCACATCACCTAACAGGGGGTTCCTCAGACTACCTGGAGCTACCTCCCCGGCAGCCAGTCACCTCGCACTTCTTCAGGTGTTGGTGGGACACGTGTGAGAGTCTTCTCACCTAGAACTGGTGTAAGTACTTGACCCAATAAACCATGGCCCAAACTCCCCGATCTCCAAAGAGTCCAAGGAGAGTGCAGCGGATCGATCCCCCGTACTGGAGATGCCTGCACTGCAGGCTTCTGGAGGAGATGAATCATGCTCTGGGAGCTGGCTACAATGGAGATGTCTACACCCGAGCTGGCCAGGCTCACTGAACTGCACTTCCAGGGCTCAATTTATCACCTTCAGAAAGAGCTTCCAGCACAGATCATGTGAATGCATTGCAGAGGAGCTCATTTCTTCCCATTGATTATCCAGACAGACACACTAGCTGTGATGGATATGCCAACACAGGAAGCGCCTAAAATTCAGAGGGATGATTGCCTCCCAAGAATCTGCTGCTTCATGAACAAAAAAGCTGCTGTTTGATGAGTGAAAGCTGTGCAACTCCTTATTTTGCAGACAAGTAGCTCTCTTCTGCTCTCCTTTATGCACTGCATATGTGCTACCCAGGTAATGGCACATTAAGGAGACAATAAGCATTTTCTGCAGCTTTTGACAGAAGTAGAATAGCTGCTATTTGCACAGCATCCAGAAGTAATAAGCCACCTACAGGAAGAATGCATTAGCAAAATAAACTGCAAATTAAGTTCAGAGCAGTGGTAAAAAAGTTCTTGAGACATATAAACCAAGTAAATTTGTAGCTAGGTAAGGTGGGCAGTTGACTGCAAACAGTTCTGAATCGGTGGAATTGACGTCTCATGCTCTGCAACCAGGACACAGACATGCAGGAGCTACGTACATAGGATGGGGATAAGAGGAAGAAAGAAGAGATCTGCCTTTTGCTGAGGAGGCATTCGGCTCATACAACAGCACATATGCAGGGGGCCACATCGTGCTTGCTCAGGAACACTCCCGGTATGTGTGAGCAACAGAAGGGCACGCTGACAGCAGGGCAAGTACTTTTGCACACAGAAGAAACTAATACTGAACTCCCTGCCACTGGATGTGAGAGAGAGGACAAAGAGATTTTCAACACAGTTTCAGAAAAGGTTAGGAAAATCCAGGGAGAACAGGTCAGCATCAGTTATTAAACAGGAGGCTGGGCACGCTGCTGCTGAGCTGTGACAGCGGCGTTGCGGCAGGGTCGGAGGAGGCAGGTTTGCAGGAGCACAGCAAGGCTGCAGGATTTCCCTCCTTTCAGCATTTAGCGACAGCTCTGCTTACAGGAGTGTACACATACAGCAAGGGAAAAAACATTTCGTGTCTCTCACCCTGTCATTCTCCCAGACTTTTTTCCTCTGCTCTCCAAGAATTTATATACAAATAGGAATATGTAAAAACATCATTAGCAATTTTGGATGGCCAACCTGTAACAGTGACTTAATCCTCAGACAAGCACATTTTGCAAGTCAGAGTGGCTCAGTTTGGGCTGCAGCCTTTATCGATTGCTAACTTTTGGTTTCTTTCCATTTACACAATTCCCCACTTCTTGGAGCTCACCCAAAGCCATTTTACAAGCATGAGATAACTGAGTTTTCTGAAACAAGTCAGCAGAGCCACTGCACAGTGACATAGCTGGTTTCTCCAAGTAAGTAGCTACAGCCTTTTCCTAGTGATGAAGGCAGGCAGCTGTGCTGTAAATATTTCAAATGCAAACAGCAGACACCATACCTGCTGGCAATTCAATCACATTTTTTCTCTACCCTTTTTTTTTTTTCCGGGGGGGGGGGGGGGGCAAAGACAGATTTTACAATTTTAGGTGATGCTTCACTTTGCTTTTTGCTTACAAGCTGAATTTTAAGAGACCTGAATGTGCTAAATGGGACAGAAAAATGAAAGAGAGAACAAATTCACTGAAAGGAGATGGTAAGTCTGATGCAGCCACAAAGCAAGGCTGGGCTGGATGACAGAGGGAGAGCAATACGCTGCTCTCCAAAGCAGAAAAACTGCAGATCACAGCAAGCTGCAGGGGACAGACAGCAAATGGGGTACGAGGCAGTCTGTAAACAATCCACAGAGTTTTTAATTACGTTTTCAAGAAACGCATTGCTTGCTAAAGTGCAGTATCTATGTCATCCTATTAATTCAAGCAAATACCACATGATCCAAGCAAATCTTCAAATAAATGGTCCTATGCATTGTAATTTCTTGCAATAAGCTTTCTCTCAGAAATACATGAAATAAGAGCAGCCATCACACCAAGTTCAAGGCACGCATAAAGCAGAACAGATTTTTCCCAGAGTTTCGGTTGCAAGTACAAGCAGCAGAATATAAATTGTTAGAGATGTGTACGTGAGAGTCAGCAAAAACACTGCAGTTTATAGTTCCCAGAGACAGAGACAAGTGTGGCCTGCTGCCACAAGAGAGCTACAAGCTTTTGATTTGTGCCTTAGCTAGAAAAAATCCTGGGAACTGAATGATGAATCTGGCTCCCACTTAATTGTTCCTATTTGCAAGAAAACACCTATTTTCTCTGTTAACTCTTTTAATCAGGAGAGTGTAACACAATGATGGATCCCAACTACTCGTCACCATCTCAAGGCAAAAGGAGCTGCAATTAAATACTAACAGAAGGGGAGATTCAAAACAGGGCACTAGTAAGCCTGGATATACAGCTGGTAAACCAAGAATACAAGAGCAAATCTGTCTTTGCCAAAGGAGATAAAAGAAACATATTGTGGAGAGAAATCCCTCCCAAGTAAAAGGTGAATGATACAGAAAAGGAAATTAATCCCCTGTTAATTGGTGCGCAGATATCAAGGACAGATAATGAATTTCTCCAAGAAACACAGAAGTTCCTGATAATCTTTCTACAATGCTGGTCTCCTTTCCTGGCTTCCTGAACTCCTTCAAGCACTTGGAGATTGGAGCGTTTGCAGCAAACACCATCTACCAGCAGGCAGAACGACATCAGCCAGTCCCTGAGGGAACACCCAGAATCTGTAAAACTTGGAAGTTTGTATTTCCACACTTCAGTGACCCAGCACTGGAAAAGCACTTGTCTAAAAGACACTCACCTTCATGTGTCAAAACTTGGCAACAAATTTGGAAGCTAAATATTCATTAAATGCTACAGCTGCCCTCTTGTCAAAGTGGATTCAAGGCATTTTGTCTTGCTGTCAGCACACCAAAAATGGAGATGCACACCCCCATGAGCTGCGCTGGGTCACAACAGGTTCCCTCCATCCCCATCAGGTCCTTCTCCAATAAACCCATGTTCCTGTAGCAAGTGCAGCAAGAATACGAGTTGGCAGACAGTCACTACAGGGTGTCTGGCCTCTGCGAATGCAGCACTGTTGGTTGTGAACTGGGGCTATGCTGCATGTGGCTCTTCTACAGGAGAACTTGCTGTGCGCAGGAGGCCCTCTCCCCACATCTCAGCCTAATTCTCTTTCGAGTTTAGGAGTGACTCTGAACTACACTCACTAGACTAGAAACTATAGTGACGGTTTTCTCAAAAGCTGGGACAGACTTTTGGTTCCTCCAGATCTGGGTAAGAGGGGTAGGGGGAGCCAGGTATGATCAAGACTATGGAAAGCCATACAGATATTCAGACTCTAAAACATCTTAAATAGCTGTTCTTATGAGTACAACATCACTATTCCAAACACTGTAGTATATTAAAAAACCTTTATCATACATACATCTCTACCTCTCACA